ATGAGGTGCTCAATAGAAAGTCTCAATCAGAAATATATGCTGAAGGCTGAAGTTGGCCCAGAAGAACAGAAAGGAAAAATGAATTGAAAAACCATACACAACAAATTGGAAATCGAGTTGTGCACTAATCAAAAAGTGTGCACAGAAAACAAGAAAGAGGACTGTTGCAAGATCTAGAGCGAAAGGTGATCAGCATTAAAAAAAAGTATTTCAATCGCCGGAAGAAAAAGGGTTAATTAAGTTTTCTTAGCAGATATTACTATCAACCTTCATGCTATAGATTGAGCAATATGAGCGCAATATAAACACTGAACATGGAATAATCAAATCTCCATGAACTCTATACATAGTTAAAAACGGTAACATAAATAAATGAAACTAACAAAAGCAAACAAGTACTTACCTCTCATTTCGGAACGCATCGAAACATTTATGGAAAAGCAGCAGACCGTCGGCTTTCAGGAACCGTTCACAGTTCACCGGAGTTTCGTCTAAAAGGAACGGCTAGATTTGGAGAAAAATTGACAATAAAATAATAAAAAACTGAGAAAAAAGATGAGATAGTGCTAAAAACCTGTGATATTCCATAAGAAGCTCCATCCAACTTCCATGACGTCATCACACATGTTCGTCGCCAGTTTTCTACGGATCTGATCGAGAATCATCTGCAAATTCAAAGGTCATTGCTACGTAACTGTATCTACGATAACGAAAGCTCAAACATGGAAGAGAAATGACATGAATAATAAGATTTGATGCGAAATGTGCAGTATGTAAAAACTGATAGAAACGAAGCGATAAGTTTGACCATATCAATGAAAATTAGTCAAAACATCTCGACCATTTCTGCCACAGCGTGTGAACTCACCTCAATAGCTCCGAAACTGCCAACTTGGACCTTCTTGATCGCCTTCTACATGACATGCCATTGAATTCAACAGGAACACCACAATTCGTTGCGTTAGATTATCCGCGTTATGGTGCTGTAGGACGGTCACCAACAAGATGGCTAATCGACTGGAAATAATATAATTATTTACTCATTTACAACACCTTCACAAATAATTTGATTTTGGGTGAATTCCTTCCTCTCTATGCTTTTTCCAAGACCAATGAAGCTGCTACTAAACCCACTAAGACTCGCAACATGTAGATAGTCAAGGTTACACAACCCTGACATGAAAGTTGAATCATCAAAATTCCAACATAATGCACTAAAGCTTTCCCCATTGACTTCACTATAGCTTGCGCACTTTCTCTCGAAGAGTATAACTCAAATAGTCGTTGCCATGGTTTGAGCTACTCGCTGATTTGGAAAAAATAGTAATTATGCAGCTTCTAAAATGCTACTTTCCAGCCGAAAGCAAACAGCAATTACTCAAACTGCTAATCACAGCAGCAACAAGAAGTATGAGTACGCTTGACTATCAACCGAAAATCACCATAAGACATGCCAATTTAAACACATCAACAACACTTTCGGTCCATTCGAAGGATGTTCACCACTTCAAATCTAGGGTATTCTTGTTGAAAAAGAGGACACGAAGCGAACGGGTGGACTCTTAAGACCAATGGGCTCTGCATGAGTTCCCGCCTATTGGAAGAGAGAGCGGCACGATCCCAGAACCTAATTCACACAACAAATATAGCTCACGATTTCAAAAACCTTTTCTAAATTTTAATCACCTTAAATCTTCAACTTAACGTCCCTTTACGTAAATAGACAACCAGCTAAACCTGTAATCGAAAAGAATCTCCTGTGGTATCTCGAACTGACAGAGCGACAGACAGCAGTTCCTAACCATTACTTGCTCCTCCATGTGTGTTTCCATCCCTATAACAAAACTGAATATTACAGGGAATCTGAGAAGCGCCAGCTCTATTAGTTTGTACAGTGATTTCTCACTCGAACTTGTCCGGCGAGATTGCGACAAGGAAGCTTATTCACCTTGCCACTTGGTCATATTCATCACCCCCCCCCAAAAAAAAAAAACATTGCGTGTGGTCAAAAATTGAACTGAATCCTTCCGTACCGCATATGCACTCACAAGACTTACCGGGGTTCAACTGCAGTGGAAATGCCGAGCTAAAAGCTACGCTTGGCTGGGTAATTCTGAAATTTCAAGCACGAAAACAAGTGGCCAAACTGATTCTTCTTGGCGATCTCAATGAGGGATGAAAGAGCAAGGCTTGGTCAGAGATTGGTAGGGGTTCGATGTTCAGCTCCGCAATCCTGCTCTATTAGCTGGTCAAGCAGAAACCTTTCATTTCAGAAGATACATATTAGAGAAAACCTTCAGGACAAGTTGGTCAAGATGAGGGACCTAAATGAGGCCAAATAAAGGTAGCCAACCCATGATTGTTGGTTTTCCCCGCCAAACTGATTCTTCTTGGCGATCTCAATCATACCCTTTTCCTTAAAAGCTTGAAAACGACTCCGATTTTCGCTCTCCTCCTCCCTCACCCCGGATGAACATGTTCTGCTCTTTTCTCCCATTCATAACAAAATCCTCGCAGGTCTTGGAAAAACTCTGCGTCATCTACGATTTTTTTCAGATTTCTAC